CAAGGTGAGGACCTTAACAACTGCGCCACGGCGCCGGGCCCACTAGTAACAAGTCTTAACATAAATTTTCTGAGCAAAATTATGTCTGAAATCATTGTTTTTTAAAAAATGCTTCTAATGTTTATAAAGATCTATTTGAAAATTAATGAGTTTACTAGTGTCTAATTTTTGAAAATGCATATAGTTTGATAATTACTAAAGGTACGATTTGAAGAGAAGTATATATTTTGAAAAAAAACAGATGAGTTGTAAACGTCATGCATATATGTGTATGTATGTGTGTTAATGCTAGGAGTAAGATCCAGCTGAAAGCCTATTCCTATTTTTCATTTTTACAGATATAAATGTTAAGAAACCTTGTTGATTTGGCCCAGCATGATAGAATAGTGGTTAAAGTCCTTGCCTTGCACGTGCCGGGATCCCATATGAGCGCCGGTTCTAATCCTGGTGGCCCCACTTCCCATTCAGCTCCCTGCGTGTGGACTGGGAAAGCAGTCCAGGACGGCCCAAAGCCTTGGGACCCTGTACCCATGTAGGAGACCAGGAAGAGCTCCTGGCTTCTGGCTTCGGATTGCCTCAGCTCCAGCCGCTGTGGCCGCTTGGGGAGTGAACCATTGGACAGAGATCTTCCTCTCTGTCTCTCCTCCTCTCTGTATATCTGACTTTCCGATAAAAATCAATAAATTTTAAGAAAAAAAGAAAAAGAAACCTTTTTGAGGTAGATTGGTAAGTATGAATGAACAGGCATTTATTATAGCAATGATTCAATTCTTTGTCCAGTTACATTGAAGTGGAAATCGGCTGGTGTGTGGCTAAAAACCAAGCTTACAAGGGCCCAGCAGTCACACGGTAAGACCAGCAGATAAGGAAAGCCGGCTTTAACAACTCGGGGTTTTCCCAGGCTTGTCATAGCCCCAAAGCTAACTGCTGTGTATTTGCTTCTGTACCCCTATTGCTTGCCCTAACCAGTGCCAAATAGTTCATGCAACTGCTCTATAAAAAACAGTGACAGGAAGAGGACCAGGGCCCGAGCATTTTGGAGTGATCCAGCCTGGTGCCCTCTGGAGTAAATCAATGTTAATTCCTTTCCACAAGTGGTTACTCAATCTCTGGTGGTTGGTTTTCACAATATGCTTGAAAATCAATTATGTGTTACCAGAATTTATTGCAAAGGTCTTCTTTGAAACCTTTGAAAGGAAGGAATCAGAAAGGCTGACTTGCAAAAAGATATAAGAATCCATTCATTAGAGCCATTCATTTGATCAATTTTTGATAAGTATACCAAAGGCCTAACTAAGAGTTATCAAACAACTCAGCTATACCAACTACTCCCCATTTAGAGAGATCCTGTATAACCAGCCATTCACACTGAAGCTTTTTTTTACTGCATTATTCAACAATTTTGTATGTTGAATACAATACAGTAAGATGGTTTCACATTGTCATAAACTTTAGATACATATTTCCATCAAAATCACACCAGAAATTTAATACTAAGAAAATATGCTAATGTTTTGTGTGATAAAGGTGTTATGGTTATCTGTGCTTATACATTCATATACATGTGTATATGATATTTATGAATAAACATGTGAAAATGGAAGAACTGGGGAAAAGATGAAGATAAAATAGCAACTAATTCTTAGTTGGTAACTACTGAAAATAAGTCATAGGTGGTACAATATATGCAAAGTGAATATATCATACATTTTACCTTCATACACAGTTCAGATTCTCCATAATAAAAACTTCAAGATCTGCTAACTAAGCTCGTTCAATATGGGAAAAAGATCAATTAGAGGAAATGCTTGCTAAATAACCCAATCAAAAAGTTAGCCCTTACTGTCAAATCAATTTCTGTCAGAAAGAATTTGACCTCGACTTTTTCAATGCAAATAAGTGTGTGAATGGGTTTTAAGGAATATTGGTAAAATTGCTGAGAAATGACAAAGTATATGTTGCAGAATAGTCAAGATTAAAACAATAATTTATGTATTTTTATAAAATGTTACCTAATTGGATAATAAAGCAATATGCTATTCAGCATTAGTTACTATTTTTCAATGCAATGTAATGTACCTAAAATAACTTAGTTATAAAAAGCATGACAAAAGACAGACCATTCATATAGTAATTGTACTGTATATTCAATTCTGGGGTCTAACATTAAAATTAATTACCTAAAAACCAAGCATGAGAGTAAGAAAAAGCACTCTGATTTTATTAAACAAAATTTTCTGACTGTAATAAAAACACAAAATTTAATTATCTCACGAGCTAGCATGAAATTCTTTTTATTAATAGACTACAAAAAACAATACATTTCCTAATTTTAAAAAAATGCTTTACCTTAAATGGTATTTTCTCTGTATGGTTTGAGAAAATGCCAATTACAGAAAAATACCTTTCGATACAAAAGAAATTATACAAAAGTTTTATACATGGGTTTGACAGGACTGGAGGACATTCTGTTGTTTTGTCTCATGTAAAGCAATCAGTATTCAAAATTACTTTGCCACAAAACATATCTCAATTTCAGTTAATGATATGCCTTTAGGAGAGCACTAAGAATCACTGCTGATGTCTGCCTTTTGGAATTTTGTGTTTCTTTTGTACTCTTTTTCGTGTGCTCTCCCCAGATCATCAACAATACACTTTTTGATAGTAGTTAGAGAGCAAAGAGGAATTATTATTAGAATAAAACCTGCTATTGCCAGCACAACCTCACAATAGCATTTCTGCATTTAGAATACTTCATGGACCAAAATATTTGATTTTTGTAATCAAAATTTTTCTTAAAGTGAAAAATGTATGAAGACAAAAAAAAACCTTGAAGTTCTATATTAATTTGTCATTTTGATTAATCATAAAAGGTTTATCTTTCTTTGGCACCCATACATTTTCATTTTGCAGGAAATGTATCATTAGTAAGAATCAGAAAGTATAAAGAATATGGCAAATTAATGTGGAATATGAGGAAGATAGTAAAAATGGGTTAATCCTCAGGCATGTTCATTTCAGATAACTGCACTTAAGAAACCCAAAGATGTTAGGAAATGATTTGCTTAGTACAACCTATACCCACATACTCCTTAGCAAGTCCTTACACAGTCTACTGTACATTAACACAGCTACTACACTGAACTTCCAAAGATGGACACATCATTTCTTTTTTTAAATGATCTTCCGGCTTTCAGTTTTGCCACACCCACACCATTTCCCACAGAATCCAAAAAATCCTTTAATTTGTTTTGATCTACAGCAAAGCTGTTGAATGAAGGTAGTAAATGTAAAGAAATGATGGCTTCACAATTGGAAGATGAAAACTCATTATGAACCATTTATTTCCATATTATATAATGGTCACTTAACCATTGAATGAGCCTTGTTAGCCACTGTTAACCCAATAAAAGAAGACCATTTAAACAAAGTGTCAATCCTGCAGTTAATACATATTTTAAAAACCAAACAGGTTTTGTTTGAGAGTCTTTCTCTTCTTTCTTCTCATCCAACTTGGAGCCACATGGATGATATGTAAACTGTATGATCCCACGGCACGCCTCTTTTGAAGGGACAAGGTGGACCATGTTGCAGACATGGAAAGGTAAATAAATGCATTCTATAGTCCTCAGCTAAACTATTCCTTCTCAGACACAGAAAGCAATTAACCATGATGTCTGCCATGAAAAGCTCCTTGCTATCACAACGGCTACCACAATTCTGTATTAGGAAGACTGTTATTTATTTTTTTAAACTCCAGAGGAATTATCATGAATTTGAAATTCAAGTTTCCAGAAAGTTCTCCATAAAGCTTTTCTGTCCACCGAACAGGAAGAAAGGCCCAGCACACATACTGGCAAAGAACAAAGCATACATGAAAAAATTACAGTACTTACAGGAGTGGTATGTATATTTTCAAGCAATTATTGGCAAATGAAACAAAGATAAATAAAGCTTATTAACATCTGGAAGCCAAAATGCCTAAGGTGGAAGATTTTATCAAGATAATGTCTAAACTTCCTAGTAAAATTATACCCTTCCAATTCCAAAACATTTAATCAGTATTTAAATAGCAATTTGTACAGTCTGTATTGCTAACGTCCAGGAGGGTAAAAGCCCTAAGCAGGTGTTACATAGAAAGCAGTTACAGATAAGAGTCAAACTGCGTTGAGAGAGCTTATGTGCTGAACAAATGCTCTTTTAAAAATCTTTAGGAAACATTTCCAATTGGGGCAAGTCCCTGTGGTACAGGAAGTAAACTGTCCCTTGTGGCACCTGCATCCCGTAGCAGAGTTCAGGTTAGAACCTCCATTTCCTATTCAGTTTCCTGCTAATGTGGCAGGACAGGTTGCAGAGGGTGGCTCAAGTCCTTGGGTTCTTGACTCCTGGGGGCAGACCCAGACACAGTTTCTGGTTCCTGGATTCGGCTTGGCCCAGTCCCTTTAGAGGGCACTTGGGGAACAAATTAGTGGCTAGAAGTTGTCTCTCTCTCTCTCTCTTCTTTCTCTCTCTGTGTCTATCAGTGTATCTTTTAAATAAGTAAATCTGTGGGGAAAAAAAGAAAGAGGTAGGTGCTGCAGCACAGTTGGTTAAGCTGCTGCTTAAGATCCTGGTATCTTATATCATAACGTTGGTGTGAATTCCAGCTACCCTGGTTCCTATCCAGTTTTCTGATCATGTGAGTGATGGTGGTGGTGGCTCAACATGATGGTTCAAGTCCTTGGGTTCTTGTCATTCATGTAGGAGATCTGGACGGAGTTTCTGGCTCTTGGATTTGGCTTTTCACAGCCACCTGACAAGCATTTGGGTGGTGAACCAGCAAATGCTGTTTGTCACTCTGCCTTTCAAATAAATGAAAATCTTTGAAAAGAATAAAAACAAGTAATTCCAATGAGTTGAATTTTCACCAAAGGTTGCAGCAATCAGTACACACAGGCATATACTCTCTACAGTCCAATAGTACAGATACAATTAATTAGACGTTTATAATATGTACTTACCCTCCTAATAGTATTTGCGACTGGCTGGATCCATTTGTAACACCAAATACATCAGGAATTAAATCACCATTGAAACTGAAAAATAAACGTTCAAAATATTAAGCAGGTACTTCTTTAGACCGTCACTTTTATTGTTGCTTATTGAAGAAGATGAAACAAAATAAACTTTGGGAGGTATGTACATTACAATGTTTTCTAACAATTAGCTGTAATAAATCAGAGGTCTACACATGTGTTATCTCACTTCTAAGCCTCAGTGTGTAATCCTGTCCCTGAAGCCCCAAGTCTGCAGAGCTTGCATTGTGGTCTGGCACTGGACCAGCACTGGGGTTTCTGTAGCTTGCCTCTCAGTGACAGCACAGGGTGGAGCTTATTGCTAAGCCATGCTTGACTCAGTGTCACCAAGACACTGACTGCTGTGTGGAAGTTTGGGGTCATCCACAACCTCTGCATGTTCATCTACATCCTTCAGTGCTAATTTCTAGAAACTTATTTTAGAATCATGACCAAATTTGCTTATTTACACGATCTTAGGAGAAGCTGATCCTTTGTTGATAGAATTAATACCGGCCATTAAATATAACAACAACAAAGAAAAAAATATACAACTCTAAAATAAAACCAGTTGAGCACCCTTAAGGAAGTTCACAGCTCATCTCGCTAACAGGCCCTGACCTAGCTTCAATACTAACTACAATAAAATAACTGTAAGGCAGGCAGTACTGAAAACAAGATTGTGCACAGATTAGACATCTGAAAGTGAATTCTACCTCATTACTAAATATTCTGCCAGAAAGCTGTATTAAATTATAACTCAATCTTTAAAAACTCCTGCAAGAAGCCTGAATAGCTCATATCTGTCAATCAAATGCTAACAGCTTTATTTAAGAACAGCTACTTAAGTCTTTGACAAGGCTAACATCCACAGGAATTGACAACAGATGCACTTCAATCTACAGTAACAAAAACAACAGCATAAATCTTTTCCTTCTTCAAAACAATGCATTTTATTTTTCTTTCCTCCACCTTGACAAGATTCCTATAATCAAGATCATAGGCCACTATAAGCTTTAAGAGACAGTGAATTTAGAGTCTACTTTGCAAGCTGTTTTCTATGCAAAGGATTTGTATATTTGTCAGCTTAAAATCATACCAAGGAAAGCAAAAACATACTTACTCCATAATCAGTGGTTCATCCTGAAAAGTCCTATTAAGCATGGTCATATTGTTAGGATCTACAAGGAGAAAATGCACAGAAATCACACGACATTTTACATTAGCTTTCTATCTGTTTTTATGTAAAAATGCTTTCAGTCAAGGTTATCTCTTAATTCATATATTATAATTAATCAAACACCAAGAACCAAATCTAAATAAACATCAAGACTGAAAAGACAAAATACTGACAGAATCCATTTAGACTGAACAGGACTACAATGGCTTTGTTCTTCTAATAAAATATTTAGTTATTTGAAAGAGTTACAGAAAAAGAGGGAGAAACAGAGAGAGGTCCTCTACACACTAGTACATTGCATGCATGGCTGCAACAGCTAGGGCTGGGCCAGGAGCATCAGCTGGGGTCCCATGTGGATGTCAGGGGAGCAAGCACACCAGTAATCTTCTGTTGCTTCTCCTGGGCCGTTAGTAAGCAGCGCAATTATAAGTGGAGTAGCTGGGATAAGAATTGCATCCCATATGCCATGCTGGCATCCTAAAATATTTAGGCCACAACGCAAGCCCAAACAGCTGGTGCCTTTTGAAGATTCTACCTGGGTGGCTTGTAGCTGCCTTTTCATCATACAATTTACCAAGGCAATAATGCATAATCAACGAGGTTTGCTGTAAAGAAGTCAATACATCCAAGACTACTTGACTCTGACACACCCACTCTCATACAAAGTGGTACTTCATACATGGGACTCCTTCCTAAAATACTTACTGTGTGTAAAAATATGGTGATTACTACCAAATTCATATTGCCATATGTGACAGTACAATTACACTTGTACACCTTGGAATTTGGTTTAACGAACAAAGCTGTCTGTTTAGGAATATATATAGATTTTCAGGCAAGCTTTATGCTTTGTGGGTGGTTACAATAGTCTTTCTAGGGCTATTTTAAAAACATTTTCGCTATTTTCTGTTACAGACAGCCTATACACTGAAGCTATCATTTTTCCGGATACTCTTAAACCAGAGAAGGTGAATAAAAGTTAAGCTTTAACAATCAGATGCACTGTGAGTTTTAAAGGCAGGAGTGAGTCAAAGGATGTGCCTCTGTTATTAATATATCACTGTCTGCTCCTTGAACTTGCGAGCCTCAGAGGCTTATTGGGTAGCCATCACAACATTTCTATATGCTATTAAAATCTTTTGGTAAATCGCTTCACTAAGTTATCAAGGGTGGATTTTGTTCTCTGCAATTAGCTCAGCCCAATTCTGAGCTGAAAGATAAAATAAGAAAATGAATATGAAAACAATTTTTTAATTCCTAACATTCAAGAATAGCATTTTTTAACTGATCTTAGAACAACCTTGTAATGCTAAGAACATTTGGTATTGGGCACAGCAAAATGGCACAGTGGCTAAAATCCTACCTTTGCACACACCAGATTCCATATGGGCATCAGTTCACATTCTGCATGCTCTAGCTCCCATCCAGCTGCCGGCTTGTGGCCTGGGAAAGCAGCAGAGGATGGCTCAAAGTCTTGGGACCCTGTACCCTGTGGCACACTTGGAAGAAGTTCTGGCTCCTGGCTTTGTATCAGCTCAGTTCTGGCCATGGAAGCTACTTGGGGAGTGAACCAGCAAATGGAAAATTTTTTCTGTCTCTCCTTCTCTTCATAAATCTGCCTTTCAATAAAAATAAATAAATCTTAAAAGAAAATACTAGATAAAGCTTCTATCTTTTTAAAAAATATTTAATGAAAAATCATAAAAGCTCTTAAAACAAATTCACCTAATGTTTGATTTTGTCCCCAGAAGATGACAGCTCCTAGTTCATTGTTGCCATGATTTTTGGGAAGATATGTCAGCAGGACATCCATTTGTGAATCTCCATCATAATCCCCAGGCACTACACTTGTTATCAATTCACTGTAATTCCTAAAAGAAAACAGCATTCAAAAATATCCATACAAGTTACTGAAGAGGACATAATGTGCACTTCTTCCATTTAAAATATTTTCATATAAAATTTAAAATCCTGCAAACTGATTCATCTTAATGTCTTTCTTATTATTATGATTTGAGAGGCGTAGGGAAAGACAGTGAGGTGGGTTGGGGCATATGAGCACTGGCACAATTTCTAAATGCTTGCAGGGACTGGGAATGGGCCAGGCCAAAGCCAAGAGACAGACACTCAATCTAGGTCTCCCACATGGGAGAGAGAGAGGCAATTACTTACATCATCACAGCTGTGTCTCAGAGTCTGCACTAGAAGGGCGGGAAGCCTACGTAAAGGACATTTCGACCTTCCTCCCAGCTCTGCCCTCTTCTGACAGTATCAGCCAGGAATGGACAGACCATCAGTCTCACCTAGCAGTTTCCATTTAGCTCTTCAGCATTTTATTTTTAAGTGTGAATATACACCTTCCATTTGAAGGAAATATGACTATTACATCATATCAAAATAGTAAAAAAATAAAGCTAACCAAAGAGCACTAAAAAAAAAAAAAAACCTCAAAATTATACCTGAGAAAAAAATATGCCCACATGAAACAAACAGCAGGTCAAGAGAAACAAACAGCAAAAAAACCCACAAAGCAATGAAAATCAAAAATATTTCAAATAATAACAAAAAAAAAATCTATACAGAGCCAGCATTAAGTGCGGTGGGTTAAGTTACCAACAGCAGTGCTGGATCCCAAAGCTCAGTGCTGGGTTAAACCCTGGCTACCCAGCTTCAGATTTATGCTAATGTGTCTGGGAAAACAAAGGCAGACAGCCTGAGTGCTTGTGTCCCTGCCTTGCTTGGGCACACTAAGATGGCGGTACTGGTTCCTGGCCTCAGGACTGGCTTTGATAGGGCTGATGTGGCCATCTGAACCACAGTATTTAAGATTGTTGTGCCCAGATTTTGAGATCCCCAGAAATCATCAGGAATCTGAAGTCAAACCAAGTGTACAAGGATGGTTTATTCAAGCTCAGCACATCTGAGCTTGGATTCTTGGTTGAGAGCAGCAAGCCAACCGGCCAGGATCAACACCCCTTACCATAGTGTGGCCGTGAACAGTATATTCATAGGATTTTTATAGGGGTAGTCCACAATAGCTTGAAAAGGGGCAATTCACAATAGCCTGCAAGGTGAGGGGAAATACCACCTCTTTCCTACCTATCTTGGCTGGAGAGCCCATGCCTCCAGCTACTAAGAACCCACTAAATTACTCGGAGCCACCTTTGAGATAACCAGACTTAGGTGGGTCTTGATACATAAGAATTGGGGCCCATCAGTGCTAAAGGTCACATTTGGCCAGCAAGCTCACAGTTTCTTAGTAGAAATGAGCCATGAACAAATGGTTGGGATTTTGATACTGAGGTTCTTCAAGATCTTCCGCTCTCTGTCATTCGCTTCTTCTACCTGTCACTCTGCCATTCAAATAAGCAAATAATAATAATAATAATAATAATTAAAAAATAAGGCCTAGAATATAAAATTTAGAAAATTTTCTGGAAAAAAAAATGAAAACAAAAAAAAAAAACCCAGAAAGAAAAAGAAAATAAGACAAAGAAGCAAAAGATGGATCCAAGTAAACCTGTAAGTTACGTATACAAATTCCTAAGCGAAAAACACACGTATCGTTAAAGCCCCTAAGATGAAGACCTCTCCCTTAAATGGGTCTACCTAAATTAGCCCAGCATAACAGCTGAAAACCAGTTTACAGAAAGGCACACCGCCATGACGTCAGAGCAAAGGGGATACAGAAAGGTCTCAGCATCAAACATTAAAAATAAAACAAGATATATTTGGAGGAGCAGGAGAAAGAATAGGATTGAAGCCAGAACATGACGGCAAAAGTATTAAAAATGAGTATGGAAATTGAAGGACCTGCCATGCTTCCTTTTTCAGAAATCCCCCAAAGAATGTACACCAGGGAAGTAAATAAACAAAGGAATAAGAAAGTGACACAAGAGCCAGTTTTAACAAATCAAAAAACAGCCAAGAGAAAGTCCCCAAACAGTGAGTAGGCAGGAAGCTGGAGGAAGGGCAGAAGTACAGGTTGGATAAAAGTACAGAGGCTCCATTGGGGAAAATAAACAATGCACAGCAGACATATAGCAGTTATGAAGGAAAAATGGGCAAAAAATCGAGAATACATATATAGAGAAGCATACAATCTTTTTCACAAAGGGGACAGATGGCTAGCAAGTGAGAGGTTGTGTGCCACTTGGTTCTGCCACTTTGTTAGGGCAGGTGTTGGTGCAGTGGTTAGCACAGTACTGGGGCCTGAAGGAATGCTACTTCTGCTTCTGTTCTCACGTTCCTACTCATGGAATGGCCAGTACTTGCGTCACTGCCGTCCAGGTGAGCAACCTAGATTTGAGTTCCGAGCTCCCACCTTCTGTCTGGCCCACTCCCAAGTGCTGCAAGCAACTGAGGTGGCAAACATTCCGATGAAAAAAAAACAAAATCTCTGCCTCTTAAAAAAAAAGTATAAAACACGAATTAATGGTTAAGATATAAAAGAATGATTACTAACTCAAAAAAAAGTTGAAACTTTGGAGTGACAAGGCATAATTTAAACATGATAAACAGATCCTAGAAGTTCTAAAACCAGTTGATGAAGTAGGGAGAAGATGAATGAAAGTCATTTTTACTTTGAAAAGTATTTCAAATTAAAAGAAAAACAAGATTTTTAAGTTTCAAAAGTACATGAAAGCACTTCAAGAATTTCATGGAAAAATAAAATCAGAAAATATATTTGTTTTACTGCAAAAATTTCTGACAGCAAATGCATAGTGTTTTCATTACATACATTTTGATAGTGTTTTTGGAAATTTCTCATATAAAATGACATAAATAAATTAATTTGGATTTTTATTTTATCTTAGTAGAATCACAGTTCTTTATATCCTGTAAGGTTTCTTACCCTCTAATCATCCAGCAAAGATCCCTTCCAGGCCGTCAGTTCACTTCTAGTATATAACTTGAATTTTTGTTTCTTTCCTACCCTAAACATCCTACTATCCAGTACCCAAAAACATTTCTCAAAAGGGATGTGAACCTGTTTATCCATTTATAACTTTCCTCTTACTTTTCTAATTGAAGATCAACTTTTTTTTCACACATGTTTCAGCTTTAATTAAGTATTGTAATGTTATAGAGTCTGAACACCAAGTATCTCTCAGAGGAATTTTTAAAGGTTTCTTAAATCTTCTATACATTAATTCATCTTACACTTTCTCGGGCCCGGCGGTGTGGCCTAGCGGCTTAAGTCCTCTCCTTGAAAGCGCTGGGATCACATATGGGCGCCGGTTCTAATATTGGCAGCTCCACTTTCCATCCAGCTCCCTGCTTGTGGCCTGGGAAGGCAGTCAAGGACAGCCCAAAGCCTTGGGACCCTGCACCGGTGTGGGACTCTCTTAGGAAGAAGTTCCTGGATCCTGGCTTCAAATCGGCATAGCATCGGCCGTTGTGCTCACTTGGGGAGTGAATCATCGGACAGAAGATCTTCCTCTCTGTCTCTCCTCCTCTCTGTATATCTGACTTTCCAAAAAATAAATAAATCTTAAAAAAAAAAAAATACTGTTTCTCTTATCAGTCCTTTGTACCAGAACCTGCAGTGGTCTTTATCATCTCTTGGGCTGCAGTTGAAACTCGTTAGCATATTTATGAAGGTCACTTGGCCCTGATTTTATCTTCCCAGTCCAGAATGCTCAGTTGTGCATACTATTCTTTTGTTAGACAAAACTTTCTGTACCTTTTCACAACTGGTAGTTGTAACTACCATCTTTCAATGCTGTTTCCAAGCTTGAATGCCTACTGCTAATTTTTATTCATTTCATTCATACATGGTCAGGCTTCTGGAAGCTGTCACTCTGGTTTGCAATGACACATCTCTTCTTTTTTGAATTCAGACATCAATCAATCCTTTTTTCTTGTACTTTCATAATCCTGTTGGCTCACCACCATGGAAGACTAGGGCAGGGCGGGGGTCACTACTGCTTATAATGCCAATCACACAAAAGAAAAATAAACTACTATTTGAGCACTTAAAAAATCCAGATGTTAAAAGCCTGATCTGAAGTTTAAACAACAACAGCAAAAAAATCCTAGACTTTTATCAACCACCTGTCAAAAAAAAAAAAAAACCAAACAAATCTTGAAGGGATTCTTTTGCTTCACTACACACCTTTCCTTCTGCCACACTCAACTGGCAACATGAAGAGTTTCCTGTGAGTGATCTGCTTTCAAGACACACACAAAAAGAGGAACCGCTTTCAACACATGCAAGGAAGCAAAGGAAGACAGGATATTTCTAACGGAAAAGACCTGAGTCCACACAAATTAATTCTTTAAAGCCAATTTTGAAGCTTTAGTGTGTTCATGTTTTTTCCTAAGAAGTTGCTACTACAAATAACTAGGAGTTCTGCATCACAACACCATGTAATGAGACTGCTTTTAAAAGCATTCCAACCAACCATCGTACATGCATTTTTATACCAACAACTAACATTATATAGAAACAAACACATTCATACTTACATCAAGGATAGGTTTACTTTTGGTTTAAAATAGGGTGCGTTCTGGTCTGCCAAAAAGACGACTAAATTATTTCCTAAGAGAAGCAAATATATATTAGAGATATTTCTTGGCAGACATCCTGTAAATAAAAACAAGCTTTCTGAGCACTGTTCTCCAGAAAAACAAACAAACAAACAAACAAACAATAACCTTTCATGAAACTTCAGTTCATTTGCCTTGTAAAGGACAGTCCTATTCAAAAGGATAGGGAAACTTTATTTTCTATATTTGCTGTATGGATAGTTATGAATCATTCAGAGTATCATACAAAATTACCAGATTAAAAATTAGCCTGGAGCTAGGCACAATGGCTGAGTTGACCCATACTGCCCCCGAAAGCTCCAGGATCCCATATAGGTGTGGGTTCAAGTCCCAGAAGCCCCACTACCAATCAAGCTCCCTGTTGGGGCTGGGGAACGCAGTGGAAGATGGCTCAAGGTCTGAGGACCTGCACCTGCATGGAAGAAGCTCCTGGCTCCCTGCTTTGGATCAGCTCAGCTCTAACCAATGTGGCCGTTTGTTGGAGTGAACCAGCAGATGGGAAATCATTGTCTCTCCTCTCCATAAATCTTCCCGAAAAAAAAATTCAAAAATCTTAAAAAAAAAAAAAAAATGAACAGCTACAGACTTACTGGATTTTGAATCCCATTGGTGGCTTGTCTCGGCCAGACCAAATGATTTCACAGGCCTATTTCAGCTGAATGGCCAAGCTTTTTCCAGCAATAGTCTAACAGAATGCATATACTTAACTGTAGCACAGGTCAGTGTTCACAGCAGTAAACACATGGGAAGCATGAACTTGTAAAAATGGTTGATCGAGACAAACTTATGCCAATGGACTCTGCCTAGAAGTCCGACTGGTTGGTTCTTTTGTGATTCTTTTAAATCAACCAATCCTGTTGGATCTGTCTTGACAAGACACAACCACTGCTCCTCAGGGATGGGTCTGGCTCCTCACACAGAGGCAGCACAACGAGGAGACAGAGACAAGCAACTGACAGGGCCACAATTAGGCAAGTAACAGAAAAACCTGCATTCTTGGGGCTCAATTAGCACTCCTTTGGACATTCTTAACCACAAGTCTTTGTATCCAGGTTGGTGAAAGACCTGGAGGTTTGGCAGAACGCAGCTTCTTGCCATAGGAGGAGTCATACAAAGTCGAGAAACATCCACAGAGCACAAGATGCTCAGGGGTCCTGCAAAGGGGCTCAATAAGTTTGGGTCAGGGTCTTTCCGGTCAAGTTTCTTTTTCTTTCTTCATTTTTTTTTAAACAGATTTTTCTGGGCCTTACCTTTAAGTGGCACCTAATTTTCTAAGTGCTCAGCAATGTTAAGAAGCCCACCCCTGCCCTCCCACCCCACATCAGGACCAAGATTTTCACAAAAAGTTTTAGTGATGGCTAAAGCAAAAGCCGAAAATAAAACAAACAAGCCTCCCAAAACCCATAAAATGGAAACTCAAAAAACAGACTTTTTTGACTGGGACAGGTGTACACAAATGATTAGGCCCTCCAGGAGGTAAACACTTTCCAAGGAGGCTCTGCGGTGATAGGTGGTCCCTTGCACAACAATGGTCCCAAGAGTCATGGGAGTGTTAGGTGCCTTGAGCACACACCTCAGCCTCAGATAAAGCTGGGAGCCTCAGAAAGGGAGGAGTGGATGAATCAGATAAGTGGGGAGGTAGGGACAACTTCCCTGTCATGTTCCATTTTTACAGTTCATCCAAGAACAATGCAGGATCCTTGGCATAGACCATGGAAGCAAGCTACAAAGACTCCTGGGAATCAAGAAGAGCTCTGGAAAACAGGTGATTCCACGGGCAGGAAGGGGCACGTGGAGGGGAGGATGCTGGCTTCTCAGGAAGAAAGGCAAAACACAACCTGGGTGTTGTCATGGCTTTGGAAGACAGGTCAAAAGTGTGGGTGGCTGGATCAGGACATGAGCTGCAAAAGATGGAGATGGGGGAGTGGAGCAGGCTGTCAAGGATGCTAGAGATGAAGGGTGGGCCGGGAGAGACGGGCCAGAAAATGCAGGAGGACCTGCCGTCCCGACAAGGGATATGGGAACACCGGGATGGGCGCACGGACAGCGACATGGGGGAGGGCCCGGCAAACACTGACTTTCGCGCAGCACGAAGAGGTCCGTCTGCTTGTCGGAGTTGAGGTCCCCGAAGGCCGCCAAGGTGCCCCAGGCCTCCGCCCCAAAGAGCTCGGCTGTGACGTTGTGCAGCGCCCGCGCCGGGGCCGGCCCGACGCCCAGCAGCGCGAGACCCCCGAGGACAGGCGCCAGCAGCACCCAGGTGCTCGGCAGCCGGCCCGCCGCCGCCGCCATGGCCGCCCCTCGGCCCCCCGCCCGCCGGCTCAGCGGCGCGCTTGACGGCAGCCGCAAAGCACCGCGCCGACAGCCCGGAGACACAGCACCAGCCCCGAGGCGCCCCGGAGCCGCGGTCGCGGCCCTTCCCTCTTCCTCAGGGCTGCCTCTCTGACGCGGGGAAGGCCGCGGAGTAAGGGCGGGGGTAGGGAAGCTCGCTCCGCGCTCACTTCCGGCCGGCCCGACAGTGTCGCGCGAGAGGGCGGGGCCGGCCAGGCGGTGCTGACAGGCGGCCCCGGGGGCGGTGGCCCGAGCGGCGACCTGAGGGCCATGGCGGGGGCGACGGGGCTGATGGCCGAAGTGAGCTGGAAGGTCTTGGAGCGAAGAGCTCGGACCAAGCGCTCAGGTTTGGCTGGCGGGGCGCCGCCGCTTACCCCCCCCCCCACCCAGTGGGTGGTGCAAACCCCCCCAAGCCCCGGGGGCGGGAGGCAGGTGGGGGTCCTGGGAATGAACCTGTGCCCCGTGTGTACCCCTTAGAAAGCAGGAGGTGGCTTCGGGCATGTTGCCCAAGGAGATGGTTTGCTCCCTTCTCCTCTAAAAATAAGTTGACACTCTGTGTTGCCCACCAGCTTGGTCCGTGAGTGTTCCTCTTCCAAAAGTAGCGGCACTTTCCACTTTGCCAGGAGCCTGGCCCCTAGGAAATTGGGGCCCACACACATTCCTGGGCGACCCCCTGTGTGTGATCCTCTTAAAAAAAAATAATAGTAATGATAATAACAACGACTTCGTTTTTAGTTATGGCTATGACCTGTCTCCAGAATGCCGACAACCACTTGTTGCCTTATTCTCTTTCATAGAGACCTTCGCACATCCCGCTAGCTCTGAGCCCAGAAGGACAGAAACTGAGGGAAACAGGATAGAGCCAGGATCCTACTAAGTCAATTTGAGCATAGTTGGGTTCTTAAGGAAGCTGACCCATTGCCTAAGGGCCACAGGACCTGTAGTTTCCAGTGGTGTTTTTCAAGTCCAAGGCTGTAAAGGTCAGAGAACCCAGTGCAGGCTGTCACAGCAGCTCAAGTATCCTGAACTGCCTTGTTCAAATCGCTAAGTCAGGACTTTAAAGTTAGCACTTGTGGGCGATTTCTCTTAAGGTCGGATTGAAAATATCGTTATTCCCCTAGCTGTTTGGATATATTCTTCAGCAAAAACAAACGTGTTCCCATTAGCAAGAGAAGTGGTAGAATGAAAAGCCTTTGAATAAAAGATTTCCCTTTTAAACGATTCATGAAATATATATATAATACATATATAATTGAGCGATGTGAGAGGCATTGATAGAATAATTAGCTGCAGTTGCACTGATGAAAAGATTTGTTTCTCTGCTCCAATTATGTTTTGAGTTCTTTTTGAAGTTTTGATTGTTGGGTGTGCATGATGCCTTTTTTTAGTTTATACAACATGTCTAGTTTTATAAATCATAACCCAATCTTTGTTTATAGTTTTATCCAGGTTTTAAACCTTAATAAGTTCTGCACTTGTGTACTTATGTAAAGCTACCACCAACAACACAGGAAAGATTTTCTAAAAAATCACTCCTGACTTACATGTTAAAGTCCATAACTGCTACTTGGAATGGTCATGTGTGTTTTTGTTTCAGATTTTTTTTTCTTACAATTTTCTTGTGTTACATGTAAGTGGTGAATAGTCTTTATAATCTAGTCTATCTGGGCTATGAAAAGAGGGATTGATTGATTATGTCTGGACAAGGAAAGTAACCAGAGTTTTCTTTCAGGAAGCTGAGCCCTGCCCCCAACGTATTTCTGTAGCATTTTTCTTTCCCCTTCATATGCACTTAGTGTTTCTTTTCTTCTCCAGTCTTTGTTTCCTCTGAAATGCATGCTATAACACGAAGCTTTGAAAACCTGACTTCTTCTCTCAGACAAAAACACTTTATGTTTTTAAGAATCACTTAAATGCAGTTTCAAGTGCAAGGTAGATAGCATCGATGCTGAGTGTTGCTTTGTGTTTACCTCAGAGTAAAACAGAATAGCTAGTTGAAAGTTATAAGTAATGCTTGAAGTTTCAGATTCTTCTGTTATTTTGAAATACAGATGATGAAGTTTCTTGACTAAATCATCTGCTCCCTGTGACATTAAAAACCATTGACTGGATGGTATTTGTTACTGTTGGTGTATCGGAGCTGAAGTTGCTTTGACACTGTGTGCCAACCTGCCTCTGGCATGTGCTCCTCACAGAGTTCTGAGCATTGTTACATAGTAGCATAATTACTGCACAATAGAGGATGCTGCTCTTCTGTAACGGTTCATAAGTGGATCTTCTACGTTTTATGCCTCCTCCATATCAGCATATGTAATTCATCAAAGGAAATCAAATTTTCAAGTCATAAAAGAGAAAATGAAATTACATAATGATCTGCAATTATTGCCTTTGTTGTGCACTGCATCATGTTAATAACCGCTCACACTGCTTTCAATTAATCTAATGCTGATTGCTTCTAACCTTTACTAAACAGTTTCGAAATTGCTGTAGTTTAGCCTGCGACGCTTGTGATTAGAGACAACAGTTTGAAATGGCCAGCTCACCTGATGCGGTTGTCTCCACTCCACCCACTTTCTTAAGGTCTGGTAAGTGTGAAGACCCCAAAAGGGTCACTTGGTAATTTTAAACAGCTTTGTCTCTGAAATAAACTTCTCCCTAAATTATTATTCTGTTTTTATTTCCTCTTATGTGGGCCCAGCCAAGCCTGAGCCCCATTTCTGCCAGCAGGTCTGCATTGTATTTTGAATGTTACTTGTGGTATGGAATTTGGTCAGTGCAGAGTAGAGCTCTTACCCTGACACAAGATGTTTGACCCTGGAGATTCTTTTGTATCTGGAAGCATAGCATACATTCTTAAATGATTTTTGTCTTTTTAGATAAGGAAATCTCACAAATTAAGCATTTCTGATCAACCTCTCAATCATCTATTCTGCATCAACTCCCTGTTACCATAAACTTGTGCCAGGTCTTGAAATGCTTGTTGCAAAGCAAAGTGCTTTCCACTCTGTCCCATACATGCCCGGTGCCGGGGGCAGGTATTGGCACAGTGGCTCTCAGTGTTGTTTCGACATGCTCCCTGGCTCGCCACATAAATGCACAGAATATTGAACACAATTTCAGGTGGGTCATGGACCTAGGATTGACCAAGTATGGATTCCTATGAGGAATCCAAGCCTTTGGATGTAGTTTTACTTTGCAAAAGAAGCAATAGGTTAAGTGATCATGATAGGTTATGGTTCACCTTGGGCTGTTGAAAACAGGTGGCTAAACTCCCTAGGAGGAGTCAGTTGTCATGAGCCTGCTCTTCTTCTTTCATGTGTCTGATGCAGAATATTCAAATATCAGGATTCCTTCAAAAGTGAAGGTGAGATGACCCTCCCATCCCTTATCCTGCCACAAACCCAGTAAGAATGAAACACTTCATGGCTTCATCATAGCCATTCTGAAATTATTCCTCTCTCTCAGAGGAGAATAAAATGGAAAATTTATATCGGGTCATATTTTAGCAAGATAGAAAAGGTAAATTTTGCAGACAAGAACTATGAAACAGTTTAAGAAAAAAAAATTGTTCAGTCAAAAGCAGAAAACAGTAAGTTTGTAGTTTAGGATCTGAAATAATCCCTGTGTTTAGTTGTCATTTACTGAATGGCAGAGTGCTTCAACGGTGCTAGTTGATAAGTGATTCTTTCACTGGAGAGACTGGAAGGGCATGTCTCCGGAGTGTTTTTACTTTGTTAAGCGCCAGCCTGTTTTCCGTCTTGGCTTTGCTACTACAGTTGGTTGGGTTTTCGGCACTAGAAAAGTCATTCAGTAGTTATAAGGAAATAGGATGCTTAAGATAAGCTTTTATGCATCAGTAGTTCTAAGAATTTCCAAGTACAAGAACTATGTTTCAACATTATGTAGAATGTTTGACTGATATATAAAAAGCTTTTCTGCAACCATATTATTAAATTGAGATTGAATGCACTAAGAAGCAAAGTAGAAAAATGCCAGTCTTCAGTTTTTTAATCCATTTTAATGAGTGGTTCTTCATAAATGGTTTTCAATGTTTATGTTTTTGGGGGGCTATTTCTCTATCCAAAACTAAGTGAGAATATAAAGTACCACTTAAAACTTTTGCCTGTTAAAATAACTACTACTCTGAGTGATTTGCGTTGGTAATTTATTTGCTGATTTAGAAATACATATATTTTTAAGTGAGTTGTTTCACCATTGCAGTTCCTTGGGCATTATCATTGCAGAAGAGTGTTTTATTGCATGATTTAATTTACCAATCGTTGTAAAGCATGTTCTGAATTTTACAACTGAGCTTTTTGACTGTTAGTTTTGCATAGAATGTTTCCAGTGTTGCCAAAAATGAAAGCCTTGATTTTTGGAAAATCATTCTGTACCTGCATTCTTTTATGTATTTTAACCATCCTAGTTATGTTTGTGCTCTCCGTTTTCTGTTCCTACCCCAGAGCTTTTGCTAAGAGTCCTGTGTTCTTATGTGTGCATGAAATTGTGTTTTGATTGTTTACGGGTCAGGGTGTACTGTGGTTGAATATAAATTGTGTTGACTGTTTGAATCAGAGAGATCTAGATAGACAAGTTGTTCTATAACAAGCTTCGGAGCACAGTGTTTGAGGTGATTATTTTATAAAATTCAACAAGTGAAGTAAGTAAAATAGGATTATTGATGAAGCTCAGTGGGTTCTTTCCTCAGCTTTGTAGAGAAATAAAAAGCCAGGATACAATGACAAATGTAAAAGATTTTGTATTCAAAGCAAAGAGATAGGAAAACACTGCCCCATGAAAAAGTAGGGAAGCGGAGTATCTGATTGGACACTGTTTCCCTAAGGAAAACAGGTTGGACATTTCGCAAGTTTTTTCTTTTTCTTTCTTCAGGCATAAAAAGCGGGTATGGGGTACCCAGGTGTCTAGGCTGCTGAGAGTATTCAAGTGATTATCTTGGCCTGTTCTGGGCAATGGCCTGCAACCTCCCACTCCCTCGATCTGGGCAGAGGAGCAGAGAGAAATGCCCCTGGCTTTGGTTGTCTTGGCAGCTCCAGGGTCTTGTTTGTACAGCCAGTCCATCCAGTACATGAAGACAGTGAACTGTGACGTGGAGCTAAGAATTGTCCCCTGCCCATCTCCTCCTTCAAGGCCCTAGATGCGACCTCAGTAAGATAAGAATGGGTCATCTTGTACCTCACAGTGTTTTCATTTCTCATGTGGTCACTGCATGATCTGTTGCCTTAGCCAAGTTGACCAGCTGTAGCAATAGCCTTGGAATTAAAGCTAATCTGCAATAATGAATGTAGCATATTGTGATGAGAAAAGTGACTTGACATTTTTGCTTTTATTCTTATAAGGCAAGGTATTTGAGAAGTTACTCCTTCGTAAAGCAAATCTTCAGCTTACTTGTTCCTTGGCTTCCTCAGTTCCTCAGCATCGGATAAGTGGGTTTCAATATATGGCCTGCGTTCTTGCCTCTAATTATTTCTCTTTAGATTGATTAATTTTCTTTAGCTTAATTTTCCAGGAATATCAGTACTTGATAAAGTCTGGTTGTGCATATAGGGCCATGTTCATTTTATTTTCATGAATTTGTCTGATACTGCTTTTTTTTTTTAAGTGTATAGCAGTCTTGCTTTTAGCGTAATTTAACAGCCAGATATTAACAAGTTTTTGCATCTTGACGAGGCTATGAGTCTTAGGCTTCTGGATTTTGTGGATTGTAATCCCCATTTAAGACACTAATGGAAAAATACGTATTATGTGTACAGCTGCAGCCTGGCTCTCTGTTGTTTCCTCCCTGTTTAATCTTTTTTTTTTTTAAAAGATTTATTTTTATTATTTTTTTTATTGGAAAGGCAGATATACAGAGAGGAGAGACAGAGAGGAAGATCTTCCGTCCAATGATTCACTCCCCAAGTGAGCGCAATGGCCGATGCTATGCTGATCCGAAGACAGGAGACTGTTCCGGGTCTCTACGTGGGTGCAGGGTCCCAAAGCTTTGGGCTGTCCTTGTCCTCAACTGCTTTCCTGGGCCACAGGCAGGGAGCTGGAAGGGAAACGGGGCTGCAGGGATAGAACCAGCGCCCATATGGGATCCTGGGCGTGCAAGGCGAGGACCTTAACCACTTGGGCCACCGCGCTGGGCCCTCTACCTGTTTAATCTTGAGTAACTTCCATCTTTAAAGTTAAGGTCATAAAACTTACCTGGGGAAATTACTGAGAAGGTTAAATAGTAATATTATATGGAAAATGCTTGAAGTTTAATTCCCATTCAACAGGTTTTAGTTTGTCTCTTTCCTAAAAATATGTGTCTTTTTTTTTTTTAAAGACTTATTTATTTTTATTGGAAAGGCGGATATACAGAGAGGAGAGACAGAGAGGAAGATCTTCCGTCCAATGATTCACTCCCCAGGCGGCTGCAACGGCTGGAGCTGAGCCAATCCAAAGCCAGGAGACTCTTCCAGGGCTCCCACGTGGGTGCAGGGTCCCAAGGCTTTGGGCCGTCCTCAACTGCTTTCCCAGGCCTCAGGCAGGGAGCTGGATGGGAAGCGGGGCTGCCAGGATTAGAACTGGTATTAGAATATGGGATCCCAGGCGTTCAAGGCGAGGACCTTAAGCACTTGCGCCATCGCGCTGGGCCCAATATGTGTCTTTTTTATGAGATTGCTGATGTAGATAAAATGAAGAATTACACATAGAGACATGATTGCTTAAGGTTCTCTCATTTAAATAGGTACCATCCGTGTTACCATTTGATTAACAAAACCTATCATGGTATAATATACTTAGCTGTAGTCAGATAATCCAAAATCTATAATTGATAGAACTGTGCTATTTAATGGTCCTTTCCTTTGTTAGTTTAGCTCTTGTTTTTCTCTAAATCATCTCGTTTTTAACAATACTCACTATAAAGAAATTGTTGCTGGCAGTTTCCGTGGAAATTCATACTAGCAGCAAGTAAAGCAGTAGTTTTCTTTTATATAGTCAGAAGATATTTTTGGCTTACGTTGGGCTGTGCAAATGATTTGTTTAATATAGGATGGAATTTTTGGAGGAACTTATGAATTGTATACTGCTGGGATCTCTGCTGTCTTCTGCCTAGATCCTACCGTGTTATCCTACAAGGTGTGGGAGATAGACACCATATGGTAGGATTTGGTCTCCTGGTGTGAGTCTTGTTGCCTTTAAAGCATGCACTGCTTTGTGTTGTTACACTCAGCAAAGGTGATGCTTTAGATTTCATATGTGTAGTGGCTTCATGAGGTATACAACAGCTTGTCTCAGTGTTTTAGGTTGTTACCAAGGACTCATGTTGTACAATTTAAATGCTATTCTTCTCATGCTGTTTTGTCTTCAGGCCTCTGTAACATCAGATAATGACCTAGTAGGAGCTCCCTAGAATTCCAGATTCTGATGCAGGTGCTTCTTGAGCTTTACCAGGTGTCTGAGGGACATCTCAAAGGATAGCCCTACTCTTCTTCCTCTTCAAACATATTCTGCCTTAAATATTTTCCATCTTGGTATCGTGGACCCATATTTTTCCAGCTATTTTATGCAGATCTTTCCCACTGTATGTTTAAAA